AAGGGTGCACCCTCCTTCGCGGGTGGTTGCGGCCGGGGGGAAGGCAGAGGTGTCTGCGCGTCCGTCGCCGTTTGTTTTCCGAGCGCCGTGTCTGTATCAGCCCTGCAAGCCGTACCAGGTACTCGCACCTTTGTCAGGCAGCTGCTGCTCTCTGGCCTTCAGAGACACGTCATGACATATGACCCTGTGACCAGGGTGACAGCTGGGAAAAGGTCTGAGGTGTTTGCACTGGGTTGTTACGAACATCCGGGTGTAAAGCTTCAAGGCTTTTTCTTTATTTTTCCATCCTTACAGCTTTTGCTTGGGAAAGGATCAAATAACTGCTAGTGCTGGGTGACACAAAATGCGTGTATCCGCTTATTTTGGTGCAGCTGTTACTTACCAGCATACTGTCACTGTCAGCTGTCTGCTGGATACTCAGGCTTTTGGGTTGAAAGGCAAGCATCAGGCTGCCCCTGTGGTTTTCTTCATTTGCAGCTTTATTTATAGAAAAACGGCAAGAAAGCTCCAGGTGGTTCTCTGGTTTTATGAAAGGAATTTGGCAGGCTGCTTGTTTTGCCTGAGTACTCGATGTAAACGTATTCATAGTTGTCAATGTTGTTGGTTTTCAGTTGGTTGCTACTCTGCCTGAGGAAATTCGTCCTGGGCCAGATTTCCATGGACTTCCATGGGATCCTATTATTATCACTGCCTTAGTGGGAATTGCCACTCTTGCTATAATTTTCTGGAGAACCTGCCTTTCAGTGAGTATACTTCATGCTTACAAGCCTGCTGATATTTCACATACTGTGCAGTCTTCTATATGGTTAAACTGTTTCAACAGCAATATGTAGGCTTTGTTGTTTTGACTTTTCCTGTTTAGAGCATTAATGTGAACTAAATGCTGGGCCTAATAGCTAAAGTAGGCTGTAATTTTTTTTAAAGCTAAGACGTGTTTCCTTTAAGCTATTAATTTAAGATTTTTTTAGTAGGGGGCAGTTTCAAAAGCAAAATAGGGGAGTATGATGTAAATCAAGAAGGCCAAGGGAAGGGTCAGCATATCTTTGAAATTAGAAGCCTTCCCTGTACTTAAGCCTGTTGATGACTATCTCCAAAACAAGCAGTTAATCCTCCGCCCTTTATAATGTCCAGCTGCTTGTAGGTGCCACATTTAGAAACCAAAACATTTGATCTTCATTCTCTCTGGAGAGCCCCTTCCCCACTCTGCTCTGCACTTTACATTTGTCTGTCTTTTTCCTACATGGATTATTTTCTGTGCAAGAAAAATACCATCACCAGCTCTCAAGTACACCAGTGTATCTCCTTGGAAATTGATAGATGAAAATAAAATAGGACCTTTTATTTTTCAGCTGTCCAATTCACTGATGATGTGCTCTGGAAGCCTGTGAAATGTTTTTTGCTCAACAAAAATAAATTAAAACTAAGTATCTGTAATAATACTGGTACTTTTTGCCTTGGTTAGTTTTGATGTTGAATACACTATGTCACTTTCAAATGCAAAATAATGTTACTTTTAACAGCATAGAACAAATTTTAAGAATTTCAGAAATGGTGTTAATTTTGAAATGAGCAGCTGTCATATAAACATACATTGCGTTAAAGGATCATAAATGAGATGCACCTGTTTTTTGTGTTTGTGACTTCATGACTCCTTGATGCAAAATTGCTTTATTTTCTTTGCAAGTTACTGCTGTCTTTTTGCTGACTGAGTAAACACACTTTTCCTAAGTCTCCAGGACAGAGCATTAATCTAGAGCTTTTATTAGAAAACAGCTTAAGCTTCTTTGCAGTGTTATTCAACACTCAAGTTGGCAGCAATAGATGTGTTTTCTGTACGCTTCTTTAATCTGGTTATAAGTGGTGAAAATAATGCCATTTTTCTCTTAACACTTTTTATGGCTAATTTTTTTTTTTTCCTCTTTAGGTAAAGAGTAGAATATATCAAGGTAAGTTTCTCTGTGCTTTTCAGTGTACTTGATGCTTAGGCATGTAAAAGTTGTGCTGATTGTTTCAAAGTACTCATCTTCACTGTCTTTCAAGGAGAGTGCTAAGTCTAAGGTTATGGTTAAGGTGTAAGCTTAGGTGATACTTGAATCTGAGGATTTCAGTTTTACTTTTGATAATGCTTTTATTAGAAGAAACAATGCAGCTTGCACCTTCAAATTAAGGGGCAAGGAAAAGCTCCATCTTGTTTGGCATAAATGTAATCCATTGGTTTATTGGTATGATGGTAGTGAGGCAGTTTGTTTTTCATTTTTTGACTAGCAGTGGATCTGCGTTTGCTTGTTGCTTCTCAAAAAAACCCAGTATCTAGATCCTCTTACCTTTTTGGATTGAGGGCAGCCTGAAACTGCCTGCTGTGCAGCTGCAAAGAGACCTTCTAAACATAGACCTAAATACATAGATATTCTTGTGGCTAGCACGTGGATTTTTACAAGAGCATTTCTCCAGCTTCAAGTATATAAAATGTACTGAATGGAAAAGAAACAGAATTGGGTAATTGCTGAAATTCGTAACTGAATGCAAACCAAAAATATAAAATTGTCTTCATGTGAACTCTGCCTCTTTCTTCCTCACAAACTGTACTACTTGTCAGTCATTCCTCTCTAGTGTCTTTGTAGTTATATTGCAGTTTCCTTCTATAAAATTAATGCAGAATTGATGAGCTGAAAAAAAATTCATCTTAGATCTATGAGGTGATTTCTGGACTGCAAAACAATTACTGTTCTAGCAGGGGGGAAAACATTACTTAGCAGCCCACCCTAAAAAAAGAGGAGCATAGGTCTATTTTTTTCCCAAAAACTATTCTTCTGTATGATAATGTGTAGAAGCTATGAAAGCTAGGAAGAAATAGATATTCTTCAAACATGATAAAGGTTGTGTTGTTATTAAAATCTTTATCCAAAATAGAGGAGTACTAACAGTGACAAAAATACTTTAAAAGATAGATTACATTTTGAGTCCCAAAGATAAAAAGTGTTATCCACTCCTTATGACAGTAGTAAAACTGGAAACCAAGCTAATGCAGGGATTCCTGCCCTGCTGAAACTGCTAAGAACTATTTTATACATTGGCAGTCACTTGTTGGCTCTCCTCTCCCCAGAGTGTGATGGGCTGGAGACCCTCTGGCCCAGGAGCCCTCGCCTGGGAGGGGAGGAAAGAACAGCAGTTGCCGTCGCACTCTGGGATGCAGTTGGAACAACCAGTGCTTCCTGTTTGTGCTGCAGGATTTGCTATGAGGCCAGTGAGGCCTGGGGTGTTCAAACACAGGGGTGGTTTAGGACTTGAAAAAGAACAATTGCATGTTCTTTAATTTGCAATAAAATAATTTAAGCAATGATTTTCATTGAACCCTAAGGGTTATTTGGTGACTTGTTTAGGTTGAGAAACAAAGGCGTGCCTAAAGAACTGTTGCTCAGTCACAGCCCTTTTGAGGTCTGTTAGAGAGTGGTGCAGTTCCTTGAGGCTTACTGATGCTGTCTGCTGCTCCCTGTAGGTCTTTCAGAGCTTTCATCCTATTATCCTTGCTGACCAACCGTTCAGTTTCAATACAGCAGAAAGAGGTGGTTGTTAGGGAAGGTGTTGCATCTCCCTGAGTGTCACAGCAGCAGTCTGAAATTTCTCTGACATCCTTGCTGCCAATTCTTCGTTTGAACATACCACATCTGTGTGTAGCCAGTACTTTACTCTGTTGTGTGTTCTGTGACCAGCTTTGTGCCAGCGTTCAGTGCTTTACTGTCTTTTCAATCCAGACTTTAAATGAAAGTTGGAGATACGTAGACTCCTGTGGAAAGGGCTCAGTGCCAGGGAATTGACTCTATCCTGATCGATGCTTTAGTCCTTACTTGAAAAATCTTCCCTAAAGTGGTAGTAATGATGGTTCTGATATTTTTTCCCTTCCCCTGGGATATGAAGTACAGTTACTGTAAGTTTTTTTTATTTCTTCCTAGTGACTGAAAAGCAACTCGCTGAAAAGATTAAAAACCTTCTGCAAGAAAAAACAGAAATCTTAGAAAAGATATCAGAATATGATCAAAAGGTATTGTTCTAGTTTCTCACCCTTTGCTTCCTAATATTTTGTTACTGATTTAATGACACAGTCAGTGCAAAAGCTAATATACTTTTCTGTTTTTACTGAATATTATGTTGACAGTTTCCTCAGTTCTGTTTGGTTCTTTCTCTGTTTAGATTAAGGAAGCAAAGGAATCTGTGAAAGTGGCCCAAGAACAAAAAGACATTCTCTGTGATGAAACTGCAGGGCTGAAGGTAAGGAACAGTTTACTCTCTTCTGAAAGCAAAGACATCAGTAAAATAACTTGCTTTAGTTTGTCTTTTACTCTTTTCATGTTTGTTTTAGGACACCGTCAAAGAACTGGAAGAATCAAATCGTCAGCTAGATGACAAAGTAAAAAACCTGCACACATTGCTTCAAACAGAGAGAAAAAAGAATGAGAAGAAACAAAACAAGGTAAGAAGAATCACACCCATGTCTTATTTTTATATATATCCTTTACTTAGTATGCCCTAAAAGCTAGTCACAACCAGACGGGTAAACAGATAGAGGTAGAGCAAACAAGATTAATCACCTCAAAAAGAGACCAAATTCAAAGTTCATCCCAAGCTCAAGGGGGAGAATCTGTTGAATGTTTTGGGGTTTTTTGGGGGTAAGATCTTGATGAACTTGTGTAGTTGTGTGCTTTTGCACACAAACAGATGTATTCAAGTAATGGCGTAGTCTAATACCTCCTAGGCAGAGTCAGGAAGTTTCTTAATCTGAGACAAAGGTTTCAGGTAGGCAAGAGTTGTTTTCTTGTACTTGGAGGAAGCATCTAGTCCTATAGTAAGTGTGAAATTCTCTAAGCTGCCTCTCATTCTTGTTTTCTGGAGGTATTTATGTTTTTTCTTTCCCTTCTTTTTAAAGCTTGATTTTCTGTAGTAATGTTAAGCTCCAACAAGTTGTGATCAAAGGTTATTGCTAATGACAGCAGCATGTGTTACTTTCATTCTAGACTATGCAGGTGTACAGGGAACTTTCTTAGCCACAAGCAGGCACGGTCACAGGGAGGTTGGTTCTAACATGCTGTGCATTTCTATTCCTTGCCATGCTCATAAGGCAGGGCTGTGTTGCTGCTAGTCTAATGGCTGCTTTAAATGGAAAGCTCTTGGAGTTTTTACTTTCCTTTTAGGCTTCCAAGTTATAAAGGTAAAACATGTACTCAGACTAAGGCATGTACCAGGCTAATAAAAAATCACTGCTCATCTTATTCTTATACAGATTTCTGAAACACAGAAGTCCTTGGAGAAGCTTCAAGAAGTTATCAGTGTGCATTGTGCAGAGCTGTCAGAGGTAAAGCATTGTTCACACCTTCTCAACAGTCACAGGTTCTTTTACCAGCAAAATGAATATTTAGGATGTAATAGAAAATGCTACCTTGGCACATCACAAGTTTTTTGTGCATATATACCTTTTTCTTTTCCATTTTACCAGGTAATACATAGCTCTTGCGCTATTACAGTTTGACTTTGTTTTTTTAATACGTAGGTGCAGATGGCGCTTAATGAAGCTAAGCTAAGTGAAGAAAAGGTGAAATCTGAGCTTCATCATGTGCAGGAAGAGAATGCTAGGCTGAAAAAGAGCAAGGAGCAAGTAAGTTCTGCTCAGGCCAGGCAACTTGGTTTCTCTTGAACAAAATATTGGGGCTTTGTTCCTAGTTTTCTTGAGCGTGTCTGTTTTCTTAATGTGTAATTCCACATTTCCTGTTATTGAGATAAAATTTAAATCTTGTGTCTGCCTGCACATTTTGTGCAGGTGAGCCATATGTCTTCTGTATGGAGGCTTTTTCAGTGATTCAGTTTTTGCAGCAGTTCAACAGAAAGCCTGTGCTGATTGGGAGATTGTTACTTCTGATCAGGACCGAAGAAGTCATGGTAAAGAATTGCTGAATAGCAGTTCTGATTCTAAGCTAAAAGCGGAAGGCCTTTAACTGTGCAATGCTATGAGAATAATTTTGCAAAGTATTGTAAATGTCTCTGTATATGAAGTAGATGGCCCTTAAAGAAAGATGATTTGATTACCTCTGGACTGCAACCTCATATTTTGAAGGGTGTGAGCATTTTGGTTCTGATGTAGGGATATTAGCTGAGAAAGCATCAAATTTGTGAAATCACCTAATAAACAGCAGAAGAATTCCCCATATCCTGCTCTACCAATGGACTAGTGATTAGTGTGATAACTGAAGATTACACTTTATTTGTGACCTGGGGTGATCAGTTATCACCAGAGCTGGCAGTAAAATAGACTGTTACATGTACCCTGTACTAAAAATAAAAAAAGTCGTCATCTTGCCTTGGTTCTTCCTACAGCTGCTAAAAGAAGCTGAAGGTTGGAGTGAGAGGCACAATGAGCTCAGTGAGCAGATCAAACTGTATCAGAGGTCTCAGAAGGACATAGAAGAGGCACTTGCCTACAAGGAAAATGAAATTGAAGTAAGTTCTTTATAACAAGCTTGCTTAAATTATTACACATAATCGACTTTTAAATACTTCACAAAATGCAGAGTGAGTGTCCTTCAGTGACCCTTTGATTTCATTGCTAGGTTTTAACTAACTGCATTATGCAGCTGAAGCAGCTTGACATGGATTCATCATCTGAGGCCAGGAAGGATGGTGAGGCGTGTGAATGGAGCACAGGAGACGATCTGGCAAATGGAGAGTTGCCAGGTACAGTAACCTTACCGGCTGGCTGATGCCCCCAGTGGCTGAAGCACGTGCAGTGGTATGTTCGTGTCATATAGGCAACAAGGGGACTCCATGCATGTAGCTGCCTGTAGGTTAAGAGGCTGCAAGCTTTAGTCCTCAAGCACGTAGTGTCTCCTAACTGAAGGGAGAAACCATTGAAAAAGCTGGTAATTTCTTTTAGATTACCTTTTCGATATATTGTAAGTACAAGGACACAGTTTTAAAGATTGCCTATAGAGGTCAGTAACTATGAACATTCTGAAAAGTGAGAATCTCATCTTTTGTTTTGTGCTACCTTTATTTTCAATATGATTTTTTTAAATGAGTATTGTGCTTAGTTCCTATAGATAACTAGTTTAGGTAGTCAGGTCTTTTAAATCTTAAACACCAAAGTAGATGTTTTCAAAACTACTCAAGCAATTTGTCACTCTTAATGTTGCACATGTGGTTTTGGTTTTCATTGTGGGTTCCCCCACCCCTCCATAACCATGCAGTATTATATGCAGAAATGGCCACTTTTTGATTCTCAGATACTATGTCCAGTGACAGATACTGCATTCATGTTTATATTAGAGTGGTGGTTAGAAGAAGTGACAAGAAGGAATGAATGTCTTTTGGAATAAATATAATAGTTCTGTTGTGCTGCTCAGGGAATTGCTATTGTGCTTTCTTCCTCAGCACCCTCCCCCTCCCTTTTTTTTTTTTTTTTGACCATGTGAGGAGACCTATCCTAAATTGAAGTGTAGGGTACCTGTAGAGTCCAGGGAAATTTTGTTAATAAACAAGGAAAATAAATGTATGTTTCTTTTCTAGATAATGAAAGTGAGAAGATGAAGACTCAGATTAAGCAGATGATGGATGTTTCAAGGGTATGCTGCACAAGATATCTTAATAAATGCAGCCATGTTGCTGCTGTGCCTAAGATCATAAACTTTCTGCTCCTCTTTCAGGTAAAAACTATGTTATCCATAGTTGAAGAAGACAGAAATCTTCTGCAGTCCAAACTGAGCGATGAAGTAACAGCAAGACATGAGCTGGAAGGTAGGCTTAGCAGAAGAATTGCTTAGGAAGAAGTGCTGTTTGTGGTTAAAAAAGAAAAACAGCATTGAAGTGGCACAATGGTTTTTATTGCAACTTCATCGAACTTCCTCACCTACCTTTGCTTCTCCAACAGAGCAAATAAAAAAACTAGAACATGACTCCTGTTCACTTGAGTCAGCCAAGGCTCGGCTGGAAAATGAATGCAAAACACTACAGCAGAAAGTGGAGATTCTTGGTGAGCTTTACCAGCAGAAGGAGATGGCACTCCAGAAGTAAGCCTTCCACACATAGCATATTATTTTGTGGGCAGTACCCAAATGCTCTTTGCTCATAAGGATCAAATAACTTGAAGATGTGTTTGGTGGTGACTACTGTTTCAGTACAGTTGAAACTAGTACCCCTTTTTTACTTTTTCCCCTTGTCCAGAGATTCTAAAAAGATTATCAGTTTGCACACACAATATTTCCTTCTGCTATTAAAAAACCTAACGAATAACAAACAACTTTTAGAGAGGGGAGATGGGTGACTTGATCTTTAAGTTCTGTGGTTGCTCCATCACATTTCTGAAATGTCAAGGAGAATATAGCAGCTATTAAGATTTGTTTTGGTTACTCTGAGCTCATTTTAGTGAGTATAATTCTCATAGTGTAGGAACTTAGTATTTTTGCTTTGTGAGCTTGCATTCTCAAAGGGCTAAATTTAAGGCCAAGTTAATGGTGGCAATTGAGATAAATTAATTGCTAGCAGTGCAGAACTAGTTGTGTAACTTGCTCATTCCTCATTTATTTACTTACTGAAATGTCTGTGATAACATCTCAGTTTTGTGGGGAAAATTTAAGATAGGATTCAGGGACATTCTCAGCTAAATTCTGTAGGAAAGCTGAAATTGTGGTGGAGAAGCAATTGGAAGTTCTATGGTTCAAGCATGTATGTCAAGGAAGACGCAGGGTTGGAGCAAGGTGAGGAGTTGAGGCTCTACAGCAGTAGAGAAACTGTCTGACCTCATAACATGAGGACCCAGGTGTAGTAAACTCATAATGGAGAAGTGATGGATTGCCCAACTTGTAAGGAAGACTTCCTCTTGACCTCTGAAAGATTTCTATTCCTTCTAAAATTTTTAGGCAGTTACACTGCCTGTTGGGTTTTTTTTTATTTGACTGAAGGACTTCCTGCAACATTTTTTTCAGAACTGTTTCTACATGTAGCCAAGGAAATAGCCAGTTCAACATAATCCATTAGCAATAATATCTTACTATTAGTTTAATGGTTCCAGTTTTGTGTAATGTGGGAACACATTATGGACCTCTTAAATATTTGCAGAAGAATGTCAAAAATGAAGAAAATAATGAACCATGAAGTTATAAGAAGACTGTGGAAATTGGTCATGTAATAAATTGATACTGAGAATACTTGGGGAAAAAAGCTTCTTTCATCATAGTTGATGACTATTGAATGTGTTTGTTACCTGGGCTCTAAACTTCCCCTTTTTCACTACACATTCAATTATTTTCACTTGGTTAGATGGGAGTTCTGCACATTGCCTTGTTTATACCTTTGTAAATCTGGATTACACTTGGTAGTTTTGGTAAGTAAACTACAAGATCTGCAGAGCTGAACAGTCTGCTATGTTAGGTTCTGACAAATCATTAGATGTTGACAGAACTTTCCAGTCAGCTCTGCATCCTAAAGTTTTGAGGTTTTATATACAAAGGTCTTGTATACTTACAAAAGTCAGTATTTCTGTCCCTTAAAAAAAAACACAAAACAAAACCTCTCCATTCTCTGTCTCTATTCTCATGCATATTGTAGATTCTGATATTACTGGGGAACACCTTGAATTTGGGTTCTAGTAGATGTAGAATGGTAGAATACATGGTGCTTTTTTTTTTCTTTTCTATGCAGAAAACTAACTCAGGAGGAGTATGAGCGTCAGGAGAAGGAGCAGAAATTGTCTGCTGCAGATGAAAAAGCTGTGCTGGCCATTGAGGAAGTGAAAGTTTACAAGTAACTTCAGTTTCTGAAGACTGTTGTTTCCCTTTGTTTCAGTTGTAGAAAATTCATTTAAACCTCTCTCCTTCCCTTTTCATTTTGTATAGGCAAAGAATCCAAGATATGGAAGAAGAATTGCAAAAAACAGAGAGATCTTACAAAAACCAGGTAAACTTACTGCTTGCTGGTTATTGCATTACCTTTTACTGCATCATTGCAATGCTCTGTAGTGAGATTGGAAGTACTAGTAGTTGGACAAAGTAAACTGAAGTGCTTCTTTAATTCTCAGATTGCTGCTCACGAGAAAAAGGCACATGACAATTGGGTAAGAATGTTCTTATTTTTCTGGTGCAAACAGTTTGTGCTTGGCTTGAGGTTGGTGCAGTTAATGCAGTTGGCAAAATTTTCCCTAATAGCTTATTGCCCGCTCTGCTGAGAGAGCTCTGGCTGAAGAAAAAAGAGAAGCAGCGAACCTGAGACAAAAGTAAGTAATCCATGTTTATTGCTCTCTGCATATGCTGCGTGTTACTTGGGAGAGGAGCTTCAAGGTGTTAGAATTTGCAGCACATACTTCAGTTATTGATTTTAAACTACTGATAAACTGTATTGGTGGTTAAAACAAGATTTCCTGGTGAAAGCTGTAACATTTTACTATGCAGTTGGCCTTGTTTCATTATAACAAACACAACTTGCAGGCATTATTTAAATAATGAAAAATCCTTTATTTTTTTAAATTAGATTAATGGAAGTAAACCAAAAAATCGTGATGCTTCAAAGACCATTGATTGTAAAGCCAACTCCAGGCAGACCCAGTCACCAAATCCCACCGCGACGAGGTAAAGGCAGCTGCTTTGAAAACTTTGGTCTTAAGAATCAGTATGTCTTAAAAAAATAAGGCTGTGCTAAACCAAAGAAAAGTAAATTGAGTGGCTTTTCTTCCTTGGTATAGGGCCCTTAAGCAGAGATGGCTCTTTTGGCCCATCACCTGTGAGTGGAGGAAATCCATCACCCACACAGATGATAGAGGTTCCTGCTCGGCCCCTTTCTGCTCCTCGAAGGGAAGGCTCAAGAGGTGAATTTGGTAAGCAGCAAAGCTTCCCTTCTGTGATACTTCTACTACAAACACAATTGTGCTACAAACACAAGAAAGCTCATCTCTGATCTTGGTTCTAGCTATGGTATTAAATATTGATACCTGCTTTATTAATATGCAGGTGAGTGTTTGTATTTATAAACAAACAAACAGAACAACCTCAGGCATGTGTTGATGAGAGTCTCTGGGGTTCTTGTTTCCCTTAAGGTGCAGTGGTAGATGGCCCACCAGCTCCACGAAGGCCACCAGAGCTACCTGGAAGGATGTCTGTTCCTGGTAAGTTGTGTAGCCTGCAACCAACTACAACTTAATTATTCTTTCATTCAGAAGTGTAATTTACAAATCATGTTCCTTCCCCCAAGCATGGTAAGGTATGCATTCATGGTGCTCTTTACAGATCTTGGACCTGCTGTAGTGTCCCTGACCAATAGTGGGCCAAGAACCTCCTCCCCTTCCACAGCAGTGGATGGAGTGGTAAGTTGAATAAATCCTAACCTTCAGGAACTGTTTCTGATACATGATTCACTGTACTTCCTGCTGCTTCTTTAACTGTATCATGTTCTGTCTTGTCTACATCCTATCACTGTCATTATTTGCTGTCCAAAAAAATTAAAGCAACCCTCTCCCAAAGAGCCTGAAGCCCCCTGTGTAGCTACTGATTCACCCTCATCTCTTGAGTCAGCTACAGTGAGTATCAGAGGCTGAATATGGTGTTATGCTGCTTTGATGGAGAGGAGTAACAGGCTTGGTGTTCTGAACTGCTGGGTAACAAAATGCTCTGCAAAACTAACCAAGGGGTTATACCTCTGTCTCAGAAGGTTTCTCTAACGATGTACAGTTGCTGTCTGGTTTTTATGGAGTTGAGGAAATTAGATCTTTCTTGTTAAGGACTGCAGGCAAATACTTTGGAGTGACTACAGCAATAATCCTAAGAAACTGACTTACCTGTGGTATTTAAGCACAATTCCCTATGCAATTCCAAATGCCTGGCCCTTTACCAAAGGCTTGGCTACCCAGAACACTTCAAAAGGGATTGAACTTTCCTTTAGCACAGCTTTAGCTAAAGAAAACTTGTAATCTCAAAAGGTACATTAAGCACTCACTCCCAGGTAGTGCAAGCAGTGTTCTGGGTGAAGGCACAATGACGGTGCAGTAACTTTCCCTATTTTCTACTTGGTTAATGTGTTTTGGGGTGTGTTGTTTGGGTTTTTGTTGTTTGGTTTCTCCCCCCCTCCTTTTTCCACCGCTTGGCCTTTGGGTGAGTGGTTGGAGTGTTTAGCAGTGTTGATACTTCTCTGATGCACTGAGCAACACATTGAAGTATAACCTAATCCTGCATAGGCTAATGCTAGTCCCAAAGGCACGCCTTCATTCCCTGGGACGCCTATCATGACCTCTCCAGTGATGGGACCTCCACCTCCGCCACCACTTCACTATGGACCACCTCCAGCTCCTCTCCGTGGGCACTTTGGGCCTCGACTTCTTCCTATGCCCTTAGGTACAGTTGCGTTGCCGTGTGCTGAAACTTTACCCACTGTGCTTCTTAGAAGCCTCCTGCAGAACTGAGATGTGCCATCCATTAGCGGCACAGCTTCCCCAAGCCTCATGGGGCCTGGTTGTCCTACTTTCACTAAGCTTGAACAGGTGGCTTTTCTCAAGTCTCCATAGTACTGAGGCATCTTTCCTTGCTGAGTCTCAAATAGAAACCAGCAACCAAAAGTCATTAGAATGTAATTCATGCCCTGTGAAGTCTGCATGTGACAGTGATCCACCCCAAAGCTGCTCCAAAAAATGAATAAGGAATGAGTCAGGAGCCTTCACTGTTTAGGTTAAAGCAAGTTGTCATTTAACTCCTGTGTTTTCTTCTAGTTCGTGGTGCTCCCCTGCCACCTCCAGCTGCAAGGGATTTCTTACCTGGCCCACCCTTAGGAATGAGAGATCTGCCTCCCGGCCCACTGCCCCCTCCTCCCGATCCAAGAGGCTATGCACGTGGGCACCCTCCTTTCCGACCCCTAGGTCCTCCTGGCCCAAGAGATTATCCCCCAGGCCCACGGCTACCCCCGCCTGGTTCAAGAGACTATACACCTTCTCCTAACAGAGACTTGCCTCCATCAGGACCTAGAGACTTCCCTGCAGGCCCTCCTCCGGCAGACTCCAAGGACTACACACAGCCTCCAGCGCAGAAACCCTGACTGCAGCCTCTGCTCAGCAGCTCACTGGAATGGACTCTAGCGCACTTCCTGCAGTCAGGATTTTAGGAGATGGCTCTCTGAAGCCATTCCTCTCATTTCAGTATATTTCAGCTTTTGCAGGATTAATTTTTATCCGATTGCTACAGACATCTTTTGTGCATTTATGATCACCTTAAACTCATCCATCCTCTTGGGCTGCAAAAAACTTTTTGTGATGGACTTGAACCTACTCTAAACGTGCAATAGAAAGGAAGTACCTGTGTGGCTAGTTTTAATTAAATGTAGCCTCTGTAACCAGTTGGTGAATGAACTAATTTCATGAAAAATGTAAATCAAATCATTTCCTGTGGAAATAATTTTAAAGTAAAATGCTATCCTACCTGCCTTCTCCATCACATCATTATGCTGCAGTTTCTGTAGGCAAGGGGTTTACATGAGGACTGGGAGGTGTGGTTTTGTTTGGTTTTGGTTTTTTTTTAAAGAAAAGATGTCTGGTCAGAGATTCAGAAGCACAAATGACACTGTATTCAAAGGAAAGTCGTAATAAAAGGCAAAATTCCTTTTGCTAAACTCTGAAGACTTTGTTTCAGTGCCATTTTTTGTTCAGAAAGGATGTCCATTCAGTAATATACCCAGAGAATGCTACAGCTGTGTCCAAGTTCAGGAACTGAATTAAGGCTGAGTAAGTGCTGCTGCAAGATTAATGACTGGGTTACCCTCCTGCCTGTTACAGATTTGCTTCATGAAGTGAGGACAATTGGGATAAAGCTCTCCTCAGCTGAAGGCCAGTACACAGCTGGAAGCCCTGATGAAGCTGTGTACTTTGGAAATACAGGTGAACACTCCAGGATTCTAGAAACTGAGAAATTCCTTAATTGATTTCAGCATGAAGCAAGGTTTCAGAGCCAAGTTTTCATCTTGCTCTATATTTAAGACCGATTCAACCTCCTTAGCTGTTGGCTTGTATTTTTACAGCCTTTTTCACTTAACGTTTTAAAAAAAATAAATTCTATTAAGTGGAGTTGGTATATGCAAACCATATTAATGTGCATTGCTTTAACTCAGTTTGCATACACAGAACACTGGATAGCTTTAATAACACACCCCACGCTTGCTGGAGTTCAAGGAAGTCCCTGAATGTGTTAGTACAAGGGTGAAAATGTAGTATTTAGCATAAGAGGCCACTCACTTGTGGCTGGACACTAATGGTTTTTAAGAAGTGCTCTGTACAAATGTAAGCCTTAGGGAGGGAAACATGAAAAAAATAAAAGGAAAACAAATAGCAATAATAAAAAAACCCTACTGCAAGGCCATTACAGCTTTACTGCCAGAGTACAAGCAGCCATTAAACTTGAGGTGTTACATTCTTACAGTACAAGTATTAAGCTTTAGATTTAAGATGAAAGACAAGACAGAACATCACTAAAGCATAAAACAATACAGGAGCTTGTGCTGTGGGGACCAGTAGTCCTTTGAGGGAAAGACAGTTCACAGGAAAAAAACATGAAAAATTGAAGCAACTTTAAAAATGGTATTCCACACTCTACAGACATTGTCACAATTAGTTAAATACAAAGCTCTACTTGTGTATTTAACAAAAAATACTTCTAAGTTGACATTTCATATAACGAGTTAATACAGACATGTACAAGCTGGGGAGGAGTTAAGATAAGCAGCTGAAACAAGGCGTTTGCAATTCAAGTGGAAGCGTTTGCGTAGTGGCTAATGACACAGATGATGATGAACATTTGGGGTTCTCCAAGTACAGGCTATTCCCTTCCCCAAGGCCAAGCTTTGTGATGGCGTCTCCTCCTGGCCCACCCCAGCCAGCATTAATGACTGAAACCTCCCTCTGGGAGCAGCCAGACTGGAAGGGGACACCTCACTGCAGTGCTTGCACTAGCCCAGGAGGTGCAGGAGGAGGTGGCAGAGCCCCAGGCCTGTCCCTTGCCAAGGTGAGCTGCTTGCCTTACACAGCTGCCTGGTGCTACAGCTTCTCCAACGGTCAGCAAGAGACCTGAGCCAGCCAGGGCCCAATGGCAGGGAACACAGCTATGGACCAGGCTCAGGTTTATTTGCAGCCATAGACTAATGCTTTGCTCCATCCTTCTGCAGAGTTCAAAGGATTATTTTTTAAATTTTTTTATTTAATGGTCACCTCTTGTCTGGTATCCAGAATGCTGCATTCAGAGGTATTGCCATAACTCACAGGGCTCTCTTTTCAGGGCTTGATATTCAATGTATCAGATATAATACCATTGGGGTATTGTAAAGACCCGTAAACAGGAAAATTCAATTGCACTTTTTTTTTCCTCCTCCAACCAGTACTGGAATTTGAGGAAGTGTTGCTGACTTTTATCGTAACACCTAAATAATGTCACCCCTAGTTATACCAGAACAGAGAGAAGGCAAGAAGATTAGGACATTCAAAAACAGTTTTTTATCCTAATCAATATGGTAAAGGCAAAAATGCTGAACACCTGCCTCTAGGCAGACAAGTGTCATGAGGAAAAGTTAACATCCCTGCCTTTAAAGCATAATGTAACATCTTGGGGTTACATGACAGAAAAGAGGAATTGCCTCCAGACTGTTCAAAATAAACCTAATATTTAACACTTTTTTGGGCGCTGGGTCTTCTGTTAGCATAACATATTCTATTCAGGCACTAGTAAGATATGCAAGAAGTATATCAAACCTTAAAATATTGTATTAAATATCCACACACAGATATTAAAGATTTGACTGAGTTCTACTTCTGTCCCTTTATTAGGTTAAAAGGTGAATGCAAGTGTGTCATAATAAGCCAATGTCCTGCAGCTTATTACACACCAAATCAAAAATATAGAAAATAAATGATAATCCTACTTACATAAAAAGGTAACTTTTAGAGTAAGTTTCCAGACTTGCACAAAATATGCAGAAAACTGCATACAAGCAGTTTCCGTAAGAACAGCAGTTTTATGTAAAGGGTGGGTCAACCTGCCAGCCAGGTCTACTTTAGTAAAAGCTCTGGAAAATTGACACTAGAACACTGAGCAGCTGGTCCTGCTGTCACTGAAACGGTGGTGGTGAAATGCCACGAGGATGAAGCCCTAGAAAAAAGCCTCTCTCAATTCCCCACCCACCTTTGCAGACCACTCTGTAACAAGATACAGAAAAATTAGCTCTATTAGGGAGCAACGCTGATGTAAAGGGTTGAATATATATATTGTATCCAAAACTCAGTACGAGTGGATCAGGCAAGGCTGTTAAAATCATAGTTCAGTGTTCTCATCTGCAGTTGTCCTCCTGGTCCGACCAAAGCAGAACAGCTGACTGAGGAGCTCTTCTGCGGCCACCCCACTTGACCCAGCAACGTCCTCTCTCTCTCTTTACATCACTTGCAGCACCTCAAGCTCCTTCCTGCCCCACCTCATTTTTTTCCAGCTCTTCTGCCACCCAACCTGCTACAAAGGACTCAGAAATGCAAATGAGAGGAACTACAATAGCACAGCAAGTGTAAACAGTTAGTAGGCCTGCCACTTCTTTATTGCTACGGGTTTGGCAAAGGGGCAGTCACCATCCTTGGGTGGAGTTGGAGGCAAAAGTATGGTAACGGTTAAGAGAAAAAGTGATGAATGGCAAAATTAGGAAAAGCAGCCAATATATTTTAGAAAAACCTGTTATCTGGAAGGTACTGAAAAGACTTGCACTCAAAGGGTGGCAGGCTTGCCTCTGACTCTGAAGTAGTGCTGTGCAGTGTGTGATGGTCCCGTCTGACCTACTGGCATGAATACAGTCACGTTCCTGCCCCTAAAAGGCTAAGGCTACTACACACAGCTACCATGACTGGTGGTTCAGTTCACAGAAGTCTCACAACTAGGGTCATTCCTTGTGCAACGTTTGATGGAGGTGAAGGTAAAGTGGTTTCTTGGTCAAGAGTTGCAATTTCTTCCTTTTAAAGTCAGTGGGTTTTTTGTACCTGTAACCACAAGAAAGTAAGTTAGTACAAGCACAAATGGCTCTGTAGGAAGATGAAAGCATATCAGAAAGTGTGTCCAGTACAGTCTTATTACCATAATCTTTTAAATACATCTTGCAAGACTTACTTGCAACAATAATTAATAGATTTACAGGAAGAAATGCAGACTAGTATCTTCTCTGGATTATTATGTTAAGAAAACAAATATTTCAATTTTGAAATTAATGTAAGGAGAATTCCCACTACAATACTCTGGATGGCAGGAGATGCAGTATCAATTACTCTCTATTTCAGAAATACTCCAGCTAGCACAAACTAAGCACTCTTCCTAGACATGCCCAGAACTGTAGGGTTTATCCTCTTCCTGGAAAAAACTCTCAAAACCCTCACTCAGCCCTTCAGCCACACAGGAAGGGCAGAATCAAAACCACAGCAGCGTAACTGGCTAATCTATTTCTTTGTTTATGTGGAGCAGGTAGAAAACCCAATCACCCAACAATGCTTTGAAATGTTGTAAAATTCAATGCAAATCACTATCCCATGTCTAAAATTAGATCTCCTTACCAAAGTTACATACCAAAGGATCGTGAGAGTTGATTTTGTTTTTAAATTACAGCTGATCTGGCACTCAAGGTAAGATCAACATTACACTCTCCCACACAAAATCTGTTAACTTAATAAAAAATTTACTTAAAACACCAGCATTTTCTTTGGAAATAATTTGAGAAGGGTCTCTAGCAATTTTATTTGCCTCAAAGCACTGTATCTTTCCTTCTTTACTAAAAGGAAAATATTCCTTATGAAAGCAAATAAGTCCAAGAAATTTTACTTGATACAACAAGCCACACACTGTAACTCAAGTCTTGTTAATTTCCTCTGGCATTGGCATCTATAATGGCAATTCACTTACAGTTCTATAACGATTGCCCCAGGTTTAATTTCATCCATCTCCATGAAAGCAAAGCACTTGGTGCTAGTAAACCTCTTCTTAGGCTTGTAGTGTTTGAATTCAAAAAAAATAGCTGCACCTAGGGTGGAAAATTATTTAGATAAAGTTAGCAATTGTAGACAATATTTATCTGAAAACTTATCTGCCATTAGGATGCTCTACATACACTGGAGTGAATTATCAGAGAATCATAGAATCATAGTATGGTCTGGGTTGGAAGAGACCTTACAGATCATCTAGTTCCAACACCCCTGCATGGGCAGGGACACCTCCCACTGGACCAGGTTGCTCAAAGCCCCATCCAGCCTCTCCTTGAACACTTCCAGGGATGGGGCTTCCATAGCTTCCCCGGGGAATCTGTACCAGCACCTCTACACCCTCACAGGAAAGAATTTCTTCCTTATGTCTAACCTAAATCTGTCCTCTTCCAGTTTAAAGCCATTCCCCCTCATTCTCTCACTGTACACCCAGCTTTCCTGTAGCTGCTTCAGGTACTGGAAGGCCACTGTAAGTTCTCCCTGAAGCTTTCTCTTCTCCAGGCTGAAGAAACCCAGCTCTCTAAGCCTGTCTTCATAGGAGAGTGGCTCCAGCCCTCTGATATCTCTGTGGCCCTCCTCTGCAC